TTCATTCATTTCCTTCCTTTCCTGTTTCACACGTATTGCAGAGAACAGAGGTCAGTCTGAGGCATCAGTTCTTGCTTCTTGTAAGCATCATTTTTACTCTTTGTGCGATTCAACCACAGTGGTCACCTGATTTTGTTTTATTAGTTGTCCTATGGGTTCCTAGTGGAACATACGGCTTCAGTAGCATGTCGCCATTTCACTCTCTTCTCTGCACTCTTTTCAACCTGACTCCATGACTGCCAGTAAGCTTTCATTTCTTCCTCACACGATCTCCCCCATGTTACTCTCGGACACCCAACTCATCGTTTCCGATTTGGGTTCCATTCAAGGGCCTGTCCTGGCCTGGCCTGGCCTGGCCTGGCCCGGCCTAGCATGGAGCGTGATGTCCCCAAACGGTCTTCTCAGTTCATGTTCAATCCAATCCAACCCATCTCCACTTCCTTCTGCATATTTGTTGGGTGATAGGTTCATGTTTGGTTCGTTGCACTGGCCACATAGGATAGTAATAATAATAATCATAATTACTGGCCATATTCATGACAAACCACCCTGTACAGTTTTCCGGTCTCAGATCCAGTTCCAAGTAGAAACCAGTCATATAAGAGTAGATTTTGTGTTCTGTTGTAGATCACACTTCCCACGTTCTTTTATTTATTTGCCAACCATACCTTTGTCATTTACTGGATAACGTTTTGAGCACAATTTCTTGCTTATAGGTCTGTCAAAGTAGTGAAATAACCTTATAACGATTTTCATGTTTCTACAGTTACTCATTCTTCGATATCAGTGATATTCAAATTATCGGATTCAGTAATGTAACATCTCATCCTATTAATGTTTGTTTTAGGACCATTATGCACTAACACGTCCCTAACACTAACGTTTTCCCCACTAATTGGCATGTGTGTCTCATTCGGCTTTTACCTTCTCTGTCCCAATAACGTGACCAACCAGGACCGGCTAAATTGATGTCAGTTATCTTCTGGTTGAGGTTGCATTTTCAAACATCACACAGAGCTAATTTTTATCGAAAATTTAATATGTCCTCCTCTTACATATGGAATTTCGATCCCTTCTCACTTGTTCAATAATTATTGTTCACAGTGCTGTCTCTTCCCTCATTTGCTAGTCAGCTCACCAGTACAACCTTGTGATCTCACCTATGAGTCACTCACCCCTCCTTAATGTATGAGCACTAATGATATCATCTGGTTACCGTGACCCAAGTAAGCGGATTAAACTTTTATCTGAACAGATTACCTGAAACATTGGAGTGAGTAACTGATGAGACAGACCTTGGCTTTGACTTGTATGAAGCGTTCTGTTAAATTCTGTGGAGAGAATCATGAGATGCCAATGTAGCACTAATACTTTTCAACAGTGAATTCAGACGTCTTGATTTGAGTGAATGAACCAATTACTGGGTGTATATCAATCTATGTGGAGTGGAATGACCAATTTTACAATTTTCAAACAGGAAAACTGAACAGAAAAATGTCTGAATGAGTGATACTTCGAATATGTGAAGCAATCGGTGTATGCCGCATTGTTTCAGCTCATATAACCAGAAGGTTGAGTACATTTAGGTGGACTTATGCTTCCTCAGGTTATATTTTGTTTGCCTCTTCAATGCTTATATGCATGGTTGACTATTTCTGCTATGATCTTTCTTCCATAACCGTTTCATATCTTTGGAGATGGTCAGCAGTACACTTCGTGAAGTAGATTTCATGCTTTCAAACGACCAGGCGATGGAGTGAACAAGAAATGGTGTTGTCTTTTCAGCTGATATTCAGGACCGGTGTCTATCACTCGAAACTCACGAATACCATCCCTTCTGCTGCCAACATGGACACTGTGTAAGGATGCACAAGTATTCCCATAGTTCTCATTATCTACTCTACATGATGATTTCCTGGTGTCAAAAAGTAATGAGTTCTAGACCTAGGAATTTGTGAGAACACAAACTCGAATCCATTTATAAATAGCTGAAATGTGTCATACAGGATGAAGTGCGCAGCTACTGAACTAGTAGGTTAAATCGAAAGGATATCATCGTAATACCAAGGTGATTATATCACGAACCGAAATGCTAGTATTACCATGAGATGATATAACCAATAAGCTAAGAATGTTTAATCTAGGAACGTGAGAGAAACTATCACAGAAAAGCTTACTGATATACTAGACAGATGTGAAGTGCACAAAGAATTAAATGTGCTCACGTCCTGCATTTCAATTTGTCATGGAAGAGGTTGCATTGTTTTCTCGACAACAGCATCTTTTCATGTGGGTGTATACATCTTGGCACCATTGTAGAGCATAATTCTATATGAGAATGTCAATATGATATTGCACACAGTGATACCGTATCGTTTACTTGATGATCTGAATGACTATGAGCAATAAATTGTGATGTAAATGTCGTCAGTAAATAATACTGTATCACTCACGGTGTACCACATCACATAAAAAATCCAAGATTATTGAAAATGTTTAACTCTTGGTATAACATAATGCAGAAGAACAACATTCATGACTCAATCCTTCCGCAGCAGTTGACAATGTTGTCAATGTATTTTCATGACTCGTTTAACCTGAGTACCAAGTGATGTGTAGCGGTTATACAACGTTTATGGTAGTGGTTGTCTGCCATATCTTTGAGAAATATTTCTTCTTCTTAGCTGTGGAGTGAACGTCTTGATCAAGGTAATTTAGGACTCGGTCATTAATTGAATCCATGCCTCAGTTACCACAGCACCGAGTCAATAGATGCAGCAAGACAGATTTCAACTCACTGCATAACTACTCTCAAAATACCACTTCTTTTCAATATACAATAACTTTCGATGAGCATTCAACTCGAAGAGTTAGTTAGTCCCATCGGCTTAACAAGGCTTCCAAAACAACTCAACAGCAAATAAATACACACTTTCAAGGACTGCACATCAGTGCAGTCATGAGGAACTCGGCTACTCACACCACAGCTAGATGGATATCTCAATCTACCTGTGACAATATCATCTTGTGCCTACCTTCTCTAACACAACAAGACATCAAGTTTTAAACTTATCTTTGTTCACAATTGTGCTGTAATTCATTTTCATAAACAATTTGGAAACTGATAAATCAAATCTCCAAAAATGTACCAACCTGTACATCTTTAGATGGGAATTTCGGACTTGAAATTTTGTAAAAGTCTCCACCTGTAGCTGAATTGTGAGCACATTTTGCAAGCAGTTGAGACACACTGACCTCATGATCGAATATCAAGTAGCAATAACCTGAAATATCAATTTTTGTAAATTTAATGAAGGTGAGGAGAAACAGACAAAATTTGAGTATTGATAGTAATGATGAACAGTAGCAAGCAGTGGTTCGAGTTCTAGTGTCAAAAACATCACTAACTGGGATCCAGGCACATCCAGTTGATGAGTCCTGTGTAGGACAACACTCATCCCGGATTCCACTGCGACCTACTATCCATCCATAACATCAGACTGAAACCACGAGCAGCATCAAGGCATCCTCAAAGGAGCCTATATGCAGGTTGGAACAGAGTGATTCAGTCGAATCAACGACGAGAAATTAAATGCAATAACATACAATTTCATGTTGTGGTCTCTGAACTGGATGGTCTCATTCTTGGTTGGTGCATATTCTGTCTGTTCACCAGTAAACCATGTAGCTCAGAGAAAGAACACAACACCATCAAAATCATCCTCCTTCATCTAGTTATAAAGTAATTTCAGGGTATATCTACACGTTGACACTCACTGTGCCTACCTTTGGTTGTAGAAGGTTCAGTGTTTGTATTGCTGGATTGCATTGCATCCTTCTGTGGCCAGCATATAGTCACACTGCCAAATCGAGAAAAGATTCTGACTAGCTCTTCACTTGTACTATCCCATGGTATACCACCAAGAAAGACTTTCCGTGAAAATGTCATAGTTCTACGGGCTCGAACTGGCAGTTTTCCTGACCAATGGTAGACTGCATCACTCGTCTCTGAGGCCTTACCTAAGAAAGACAGATAAGTAATATTTGGTTACTTTCAATAATACACAAACTTGGAAACAGATGTCCTTCCTAATGATGAATTGGATGAGAATTTGGCAAATGTAGTTAAGTCGGTCAAAAGTAGTTTGAAAGAAATGTGAACTATCTTCAGCAACAATGACCTTATCACACGAATACTATAAATGTCGAGATTTCAAACACAAGAAGTTCAATGGCTACCTACAGTCCTACCAATGTTGAGATATCTCAGTCATGAATTACTTGTGGACATTTTCAAAACTGCATTCTTCCTACATGGATGGATGGATGTAACCAGCAGATAGCTCTACTTCACCTCAGTTTTGAGCTGATTGACACTCATCAACAAAGCCTATCTGCACTACCACTGAATAGCTCAGTGGACATCAGTTCCCTTGAAATTGCAGATATGTTTCGTTGAGGATCGGTGACGAGCAGGCAACCAATCTCAACAGGGGCTTCCTACCTCAACTGCCTCCAATCACCTGGGAACAATTCAAGTGTACCATCACCCTGAATCTCATGGTTTCCTGATCATATTCCAAAGGTGTTTGTGAGATTTCAGCCAGGAGGTAGGACTAGTAAACACTGAAGTAGTTGTTCTCCAGTGATCAGTCAGCATATACACTTCTCAACTGTGTGACGTCCACATAAAATCTTTGCATCACACCAGATAGACACGCAATGGAATCATGCAATCTGTGAGGCAGTCATATGTTTCAACTGTCATGTGAATGTATAATCATCAAACTATACAGTTCATGATGGCCCATTCTATTTAGCTGCTTCTCTCACCATTTCCATAGTGGCTTAGACAGGAGATCGCTACATCATATCAATTGACCAATACTGGTGGTTCATTTGTCATCAACCAAAACAGACGTCATGCAGACGCTAACCATTAGATATCAGCTAGCAAACAACTGTTCACAGTTTGAATGAGATATAGTACAGCTGTTCATCTGAACAACTGAATCACACAGTTGAGGGATCAGCATTATTTACTGGATCACGTTTCCGACATAATTCATTGTTCCTAGTCGTACCAAGATAACTCCACAGTCATGGAAATGATTTATATACTTCTGATTTTCTCCTATCTGATTGTGTGGTTGGATTAGTTTGATTGGTGGAGGGAAGGGAGGGGTAATGAACGAATCGTTGTCTGTCGAATCAACACCGACAACAGGAATGACTCACTAATTGTTCACCATATATGGAAGATTCCACTATCCATGTCCCACAGAAGGTAAGAAAATGAGAACGTTATACATCATGTCTCAGAGTTCTGGAGTTACCTGATATGACTGTGAACAATAAATTGTGTCCGAAACGTGATCCAGTACATAGTGAGTGCTACGCCTTCACTATCAGATAGATCTAACTTGTCAACTAACATGGAATTAATCGCATTCTACCATAGTGCCCAAGTTTTACTCTCACATTTGTCCCAGTTATTTTTCATTCTCTCCACATATGAAGAATGTTATCTCATCTTCTCATCTCAGCTAATCCCAGATATGATGTTTGCTTACTCTAACTTCCAATAGACAGTCTGTAGGAAAACTATTCTTTTCAATTTATAATTATCACTAACAAGGCTTACCTGCTGCATTTCTATACATCATTGCAGCTTTTTCTATATCAGCCAGGAATGATGCATTTGAAGCATTTGCAGGGAGTGCTCTTCCCAATTGAAGAACTTTCTCTCCATGGAATGTCGGTAAATGGTTTGATGTGAAATTGAATCGATATGATGTGGCATCATTTTTGTCACCTATAGAGAAGAAGAAAAGTAAAGATGGTGGATTTAGTTTGATTAGAAGGTGATTGGACAAACTTGTCCAGTCAAACTGCTACCTAAACCTATGGGTTGACAATGTTGCGAAGAGACCTCCATTTGACATTTGACATCTCGAAGCAGCATTATTAGGCTGTGGCTCAGTTCAACACAAAACAATCCACAGAGTGAAATAACTCAAAGTCATAGATGATGCTTCGGAAAACGAATTCGTCTTTAAGTCGTCACCATCCACCTCTCTGATGAAATTGATAGACTGATTACAGTTTGAAGGCAACAATGAATTTTCTTGTCTTCGGTTGTTTATCAAGTTCTCACTATTATTGTGCTCTGCATGAATGTTAAATGAATGAATTCCATTGAAAGTGTTGTGGATGGATGCATTAGAGCAGTACTGAGAAGTCGTTTATTACAATTAGAACTTAAGCTAATCCTGATTCAAAAACTTGTGGGGAGGCTACATTAAATTCGACTACTAAACTAACAATAACTGGACCGGAATACATTGAACAAGGTTAATCAGTTGAGGGGGCAATCTCCTCCAGTTCATTTTCGTCAATCATTGGCGTTAGACAATATAACCACTCTCAAACACCCTGATCGCCTTCATTAACTACACAGGAATGGCATGTAATACTCATCTGAACTCAGCAATAACATGTTTTCCATTTGAAAAGAAACAATGTTTGATTCAAGCCTGTCAGTACTACAAACTGTTTACCTCCTTGTGATAGTACACGTCAGTCGAGAGAGAATCCACAACCACAGCTCTAACACTAACTGGCATGGATAAACAATAAGTTGACAACCTCAACTCACTTTTTCCCTCTACCTTCTCACTCTTTATTGCGGATAAAACAGCCAGTCTCTGATATAGCTGTTGCAGTTGACGTAACCTAGCCAGCTGAGAATTTCTTTCACTGTGAACAGCACTTGATGATGATGAACCTGCAGTTGGCAGTGTATGGTCTTGCTGTTGCGTCTGTGTGCCAGCCAGACATGGTCTCCCAATGGCTCTCGTAGTAGCATTTGTAGTAGATGCTGTTCCCGGTTGAAGAAATTTCTTCCCATGAAACATTGGTGAAGGTTTGATATAAAGTTGAATCGGTATGATGTAGCATCATAATTTTCATCTGCAAGAGAAGAAGAAAACCAAACATGGTGAAGTTGATTCCATGGTGTCATTGGATGTGAATCTACTTTCACGAGAGAAAATTGTTTCAATAAAAGCACTGGAGTGCAGTGTCTGCAATTCAACCTGTTCGACTTTGAAAACTGTTGTGATGAGTTTGCAATCAGCTGAGAAGGAATGAGGAAGGTTACTGTTTGATAATGATATGTATCAAAGATAAATGAAGTTGGATTTGTATTTCAGTGACGACAACAAATATGGATGTAGTCAAATCCAACTGACTAGTCTCATTCATATTGGAGGAAACATAATGAATGATTGTTCGACTACTAGACACTCTCAAGTGACACTACATTATCTTCATTGTCTAAACCTGTTGCTTGGATGTTTTCCACTGATGTCCTGCTATTCATGTGTTGTGCATTCACATATGAGGCAGTTACAGATTTATTATCACAAATATCTTCGTAGCATTGCTCGGGCATGGTGGAGTTACTGTTTGAGCAATGTTGAGGTCATGCAAAAGATGGTAGGCAAGACAGACAGGTTGATTGATGAGGCTTTAAATCCTCGTCGACTGAGACGCTTTGAACATGCACTGTGCATGCCGAGTCATTGCCTACCCCGATGTTTCAGGTTAGTGGGAGTTGGATTAAGATGAGAAACGGTTCGGCGTGGTCAGATCAAGACATGGCGCCAGTCCATGAAATCTCTGATTGTTGTCTGCAGCAGTGTGAGGAGGTGTGGACTGCCTCGTTGGGATCCCTGAGACGAAAGTGACCAGTGGTTGAGGACTGTTTGTGACATGACAGAGAACCGGTCAGATTGGCGCAGATGTGTTCACTGCTTGACATCCCCTAAAGCTTGAATATTCACACTAACCTTTATATTCAGATTGTATGTGAGGTTTCGCGTTGATTCTTTCAGTCTGTCAGTGCTTTTCACTTTGCACCTCAACTCGTTACGGAAGTTGTAACATATTCAATGCCGACTGGTGGAAAGTTAACACATTTGTGATTTCGGAGCATGCTTCATTCAGTGGAGAAATGCAAACTCGAATACAACCGTTTGCGAATGAGTCACCCACTTTTGTGTAAACAAAGTTATTGTATCTTTCGGTCAGTCTTCAGTAGCCCCTGAACCTCTTGTTCGTCCAGATAAGCATTTCTTTATGCATCCTCCTGTAAACGAATAAAAACAAATAGCCTGCATAATTGCTGACAACCAACAACACAGGGGTAGACTGTCGATCATCAGCTGACCAGTGTATTTTACCATTTATACACCTCACTACATCATGACAATATTACACTTCAGGGCTGCTGGTTCGAGGACCTGAGTGGTCCAAGTCCTCGTTCCATCCACAAACACCACCAATGCCTATCTGTCTGGCATAATCTCACCAAGGAACAGCCGTATACCTTTAAACACTCTCAGTTATGCAGTTTATGAAGTCATCTCATCCCTCTCCATTCTCCCAATAAATACTAATCACATAAAGAGCTTCACTTCACATTTGTTGTCTAAATTCAAACTGACAAACTTAGAGCGTCTTCCACACACACACACACACACACACACACAGAATCATCTGTGTACTGAAAGTTATGAGATACTTCAAAAACCTCAGAATGTATATCAACACCTGAAATACGCCTACAAGCACCAGGATTAATGAAATCGATCATTTCATAGAGAAGATTTAGGCACACATGTAATGTGGTACGTACATATATGGAAGAAATTTCATTCAAGAAAAGCAATACCGTTTCCAGTGCACTTTATTGAGGAAATCAAAACTTTTCACTAAGTGCACTCCAGTTGACCGAGTATCGATCAGAGTTAAAGTTAACGCAACTAAGGATAGATATCGAATGGGTGGTAGGGAATGTTATGGTAAGGGGAAGCAGATTAGTTTTCAGAGTAATACGTGACACACACACACACACAAAACATTTTGACCCTCATCAATCAATTTCCAGTGAGAATTCTCCTTGAGGAAACTGAAAACATCAGGAGAAAATAAAAAGGATCCATTTAGTGTTGTTCAGGGGGCTTCTTGTTGATTACTTATAACCTGCAACATCAGATTATACATTCATGGAATAATGGATAATGCCTCCGCTTTTCGAGCGATGAGTACTACGGTCAAGTCTGAGTGGGAACAGCATCATCCAGCAAGTGAGTCCCGAATAAGTAGAAAGGTGCGTCCTCGATTTCACTACTAGCCACTAAGCAGATTAAAACATAATGAGTAATCGTGGGAGTATAGAGGCAACCGCATAGGAATCCATCACCCAACAGAAGTCGAACAATTCAACCCAGTATAGCAACTGGAGACTACACATATCAGATAATATAAACACATTTCAATCCACTGGAAGTATACAGAGAATTGGTCAGTAGTGAAAGTGGATAGAAACACTTTTGACGTTATGGGTTGTGAATCTCTGTTGTTGCAGCCCAGTCAACGTCGGATATTTACAGTCTAGAATATCGACACTGTGTTATGCCTGTCGCATAAGAAGGGACCAATGTGCATTGCTGGCCTATTGGATAACACTGCAATTTGAAGCCCCATGTGAAGAGTAAACATTCATCTACTGGATCCAAAATGGGCTGCAACATGAGTCACAAATTCCGCTGTCCATCAATAATCCATACAAACAGTTATGGTCTGTTAGTAAATCATAACTGCGAATCAAATCAAGGTGATTACTGCAACATACTTGCACTACTATACACAAATGCAAGTGAATTCCCTCGAAAATGAATCATAGTGAAAAGAGTCTAATAATGAAGGACTAGTGTAAGTCCTTCTTCCCACACCTCAATGGTGTTTACTACCTACTCACCCTCATCATCCATGAAACAGTCTTCAAATCGACAAAGCCCTGGATGGAATCTGGTTGACAAACATTTTCTGGTGGGATTTACTTCATTTTACTAATAGGTGCTTTCTACATTATCACTCCAATCAGTAGCATGACTGTCTTCCACCAGTGAAAACTTCTATTGAATGAAATAGCTTTTTGTAAAGTATCACAGATAGTCATAGCTGAGGTGGAAATCTGTTTCCTATTCTATGACTCTTTATGCAACAGCAATCTCAATCTCTTCCAGGGACTTAATCCACACCTACTCACTGATAATCATGCTAAGACTGGTTACACTGATAGACGACAGGTTGAAAAAATGTATCCACTGAAAAGTGGGTGTTAATTTGCTCATCTGACATTGGAGACTGGAACAGTATCAAATTCACTTCTGTTGGTATGATACTCTGAAATAACCGAATGGAGTTGAACAGTGATTGCCTTCTTGCCTACTGTATTCTTGGATGCATTCAACTGAGACAGAATTGCATTGAAGTTTGTCTCCAAATTTCTCTGTGATCTTCAGCTCACCGGTGTGGAAGCTGACTTGTCTAGCTGCAACGCGACTTTATGCTTATACCACCATCGAGATGGTGAACGGAGATCAAGTCAGTTAGCAAGCTGTGTGAAAAGATAGCGCTTATCTGATTTCGTGCCTCTGAGAAACTTGCACACTGAAAACTGCAAGTGACATGGACAGAGTACTTAGCTCAAGTATGCATTCGGCGTTATCTGACAGTTTTGCTTACTAGTACATCCATTCAACAGAAGTGAAGTACAGAACTGACACTCTTTACACAGTGAATAACAAGGGATACATACCAGCAGATAACTTGATTCACGTCCACACATCACATTCACATGATCTTCATCATCTTTTGCATCACAATGTTACAGCCCTCCCACTGCTGACCGACAGTCGAACAAAAAGTCATTTCAGTCATTTCAAATAAAACTCATCACTGTGGGGGTTAGCTATCATATTCACATATAACTTTGATCCTCATGAAGTCAGGTAGGCCAGGAGACATGAAACGTGTGTGGTATCTTCGAGTATTGTCAGGCACACAGTCAACAATTTCTCAGGGAAACGCGGAGCAAAACTCGCAAACATTTTCACAATACGGGCAAATTTAAATAAACGGAAGGCGAAACTCAGGTCAATGAAATATTTTCACTTCGGTGGTACACTACTTACTCTTAATCAGTGAGTGGCCTAAAATCGTTTGTGGATAAATTCTTGATCTTCAGTTTGTGAATATCTATCATGACCTCATTATTAACATTGTGTTCTATGTTAAATTTCCTTGAAATTGTCTACCAAATGTAGGCGTCAGCCATGGCCAGGTAGGCGGCAAGCTTCATGGCTTAGGTGACACGTGTCGATTGTTGTTTAACTAAATGGCAGTCATTGACGCTCAGTTGCTTCTAAAAAACTCTCTTTGTTCCAGCGACGTCGATCTCCTAAATTTATATCATGGTAGAGATTTGTAATGAATTCCAGTGCACTAACCTACAGTAGCATTGTCTATGAAGGTCTGTAACTCAGCCTTTAAATTCCTAATTAAATGCAGTCCTAGTTTGAAGAGGGCGTGTTCCTTACCGAAGTACAGTTATCCATCAACGTGGGAAAGTGGAGGATGACATTTTTACCTTCTATGCAGGGCATAATCTTGGAAGAGATCATGACAGCTTTAACTGTTGGCGAGCAACACGAGTTTGCCAAATACATTGGAAAACCGCATTCAGAAACTAATACCGATTGCAGTATGCTTTCAAATACCCCTTCCGTGTAACATGTTCTGGAAGAGAATACAGCTCAGTACACCCTTGATAACACCACAGTTTATGGAATGTATGTGCATATCGAGGATAACCGTGGAGGTACACTTCAGTAGTATAGTGTCAGTAAAATAAGACAGGTCCACTCAATGAAACAGATGAGCAAAATGCAATGAGCCATGACGAATTTTGTATAAATGCTGAAATCTACCTGGTCCAAGATATTTCATTTGAAGTTTGGAGAAGAATCTTACCATTTTCACACTGACTGTTATCAGAAATGCTTACAGTTAGTCGAGCAACAATGAACTAAACACCTTAAAACTGCCTGAGAATGCACATTAGGTTCGGCATTTACCTTCACATTGGTTTGGAAGAAGAATTCTGATCAAGCTTCATAAGTCGTGTAAATACACAAACCAACCCTTCTGATATGCAGAAATATACAACCTCAGCTCCACCAACATGAAGGCGACACTGACAGCAATTGACTGTTCAAAACGATTTGAAATTAGCGTAAAGCATTTATGTTTCTTGGACGCAAATAAGAAATTCCAGTTAGTAGGACACAAGTGTGAAAGCTACCTTGACAACAACCATAGAAAGTATCTGAATATTTGGCTGCACAAACTGCGACATCAAGACAACTAGAGAACAAGAAGACGACTGCCCACCTATCATTAACATGACTAATTCTCAAAGTCACACCCATCTTCGCAGAGGGAAAATCAAAGGCAGTGAATCACGGCAGGTTGTAATATCCGATGTCATTGAAAGGAAGAAGATGGAAAGCAACGACTGACTAACACTTTGAAGTAATGAAAACCTGCTTAAACCTTTCACTGCATTATGGATAATGCATAACTGGTACGAAATCTCACTGTATTGTATCAGTCACATCTATGCATCTATGTGGGGTGTGGTTGATTTTGGGACATCACGTAATGTTCCCTTAATAATTTGGTATATGAGACCTGGAAGAAATGAAGTGGTTTCCAATCTTAGACATACCCCCGCAACAGAGTGAAAACGTGGAAACAGTTGAATAGCCAGCGAAGTGTCGAAAGAAAGTTAAACCTGATGAAGGAAAGCGTGGAGGGAACTGAAAGAAGATGTGTGGTCACAGAACCACAAGATAATGTTGTGACACCCTGAGCTTTGCCTCGAGTTCCCAGTAGAATTCTTCCCATGTTCTCTCGTTTTATGCAGTAGTTATGCTGACTGAGAGATTAGGTGTAATTTCAGTTTACAGTGTACGAGTGTAATGATGTAGGAAGTCATACCATTTGTCACTGCTTCGGATGGAGTGAACTTTGGCGGACCCATGACGTGCATAATTACAACACTATTATCCATAATCAGGATTTGAAGGGATATGCGATGAATATCTGACCCAAGTCTGCGCGAAGTATAACATTCTCTCAAAAAAGCCTCCATCATTCTTATGCCATAATGACTCAATCTCCTGATCGGAAGTGACCTGATCAGTTATCAGATAATCCGTTCACTGAACCTATGGACAGTTTGTCTGTGGTTTAGGGAGGTGGGTATCAACTAGTAGGTCAGGGTTTCGAACCTCAATTGTCCTTACACTTTAGCTGTTGCTTCGTACCTACTTCATGTAATTAAATGCGCTTTCTAAAATATCCCAGACTGCATGTCTGAGAATTATCTCAAATCAAAATATAAGCATACTCATTCAACGTCAGTCAGATTTGAAAGAAACAAACACATTCGATTTCATGCAAATTCACCTCATCAAGGATATACACAACGGGTTGGTCCACCACTAGAGAGGATTATTATTAAGGTCTGGTAGCAGGACTGAACTTCAATTCATGTTTATGATAAGTTTCCTAAAACAATCACTTCGAAGTATTTTGTAAACAGCCAGTGGGTTAGACAATCAAACCGACTAACAGAAACTATATGTTCAATCAATGTTGTCAAATTAGCGCGGGTCTTTATAAGGGAATGATACACTGGTAAAAACTATGAGAAAATCCCAGCTAGCTAACAAACTTCATGTTAACACCAGAAGTTTACATGAATGAGGGATAGCAGGCAGCATGATCAGATGACCTACTAGATGGTGCTCTGAGATTTAAAGCGATCGGCCTTCAGTTCCAATCTCTTGGTGGACAACATCATTCACTGGGAGGTAGGTACATCCACCCAACGAGTAGCAAATAGGACGTAACCCACGTACTGAATTCCCCCACTTGTTGATATCAACTAACTGTATGAAACTGAAACACAGGCAATATCGAGGCATCTTCACACAAGACCATTCGCCTAAACAGACAAATCAATTCTATACAAACATTGATGAGATAATTAAACTAACAACATAAACACTAGAATTTTGTGCTCCAGTTACTGATAATAAAGATTATTGATAAAATTGGAAGAAAGGAAAAACACTTTTACTTGAAGGTTGAAGTTGTTCACACTTACTCATATTCGTATTGGAAGTCGACATTGAATCAATCCTTAACTCAGAGAGTTGTTTCAGTTGGCTTTTATAAGAATGACTGTGTGATGGCAACAAATCATTCGAATCCATGCAGTGTATGTTTTACAAGAAATGGGGTGTATAGTATGCACGAGGATAAAAATATCAGGTCACTTCCTTTCCACTATAATCTGTTCTAAAAGTAGACTATGAATGTCGTCCTTGTTGTAAGCTTATTATTCATCTAAGAACAAGTTGCCACCGGTTTCAACGTTGAATAAAAGCAGACTGAGGAGTAGAATGTCATACTGATTACTATTTACTGAATAAAGTGTGCAGTGATTCGATTGGTCGATCAACAGTGTGTAAACACGCGTACATATCAATGACATTCTACATTCTACCCATCCGTCCCCCACCTTATCGAATAATATGACCATTCCACTGTCTACTTTCCATGAACGGTACTCAGTATAATCGATCAGGATGATGATAATTCTTATGTGTATGTGGTTGACTGAATGAATCTAGGGTGGGATAGGCTGTTAGTGAACTCCACCACCATGAAGTGTTGAAGTTTTAAAAAGTGGAGAATTCGATCAATAGGACATGACGATGTTACCATTTATAATCCACCAAAAAGTGCACAAATTGATTGAACAGCTAAAAATTCGGATTAGTCGAGTCCATTTTCAATTCCAACTCTTTTAAGATGTACTCACATGTCATGTTTAGGGTTATGTCTAAGAAAAGCAAGAGAGAATAGACAAGATCATGATATGGTTTAATTAGATGAATAGAATTCGGTGGTGAGAGTGATTCTTTCCACCCTGGGAAGTGAGTACCAGGTGAGGAAGAGAAGCATCTTTGAGACGAGATAACTTTCATTCATTTCATGAGTTAGATAGGTGATAAGCAGCGAATGTGGATTGACCAGCACCCTGTGAGTTTTCAGTATTCCAAGTTTGTATTCCACCAACAGGGACAGATATCACTTGGAAAGCCATGGCTGGTTCCTCCCACCCAGTATAGGTCTTGGTGTTGAAGCTTATCAATTTATCCCTTGTAACCGCATTCATCAATCAAGTGTAAGTCATCATAAAGTGTGAGGGTTAAGCTCTTCATCAAGAAATGAATGAATCACTACAGCTTACATGTGCTAACAAGCACCTGAATAGAATGAAACAAGTGCGAAGTGCCAACAGATTTTAAGTGTTTGTGTGACCACTTCTAGTGTGTACTGAATATGTTCTAGTATAAATATACTGAGATTCTGTATGCCAGCCATTTTGTTGTATGGAATCAACACTGAAACGACTGGTTCGTTTGTTGTCTTGATTACACTTTTGTTGTACCACATCAAAGCGTCATCACAAAGCTGTTTGACAAGTGTTCAGTAGGTGTTTGATGTTTCCTGACTTCTCTGCTCCTGGAGATGTTGGCTCATTTCCTCACCAACTTTTAGAAGTGATAATGTAAAATACTTCAATCTATTCTGAACTGAAGCTGAAGTTGAACCAACAAGTATAACATTGTAACGCTTAACTGAACCTCTTTTAGTGATAAAAGGGTATAATTCTCTGTGTATGAGTTGATGGCAGTCATCTGCAGAGCATATTATGAGTAAGCAAAGTAGAGACATTTCTGTCTGTTCACAAGAAAGAATAACCACACAGGGAAGGAATAATACTATTCACTGGATAACGCTCCGGACACAATTTATTGTTCATCATCGGACGGAATTTATATAGTTCTAAGTTTCGTTCCTTCTTTGTGTTGATGAGGGTAGTAGAATTTTTCATATATCTGGGACAGGTACAGAATCATTGTGATGGGATGCTTTCGGTGTTGGTTCGATTATCAATCTCTCCCTCCACCCAAAAGGATTCAGTTTTTAATACTGCCGGTTTACCCCTCCCTATTGTGTATGCAATTGCATAGCTGAGCTTCCATCGAGATTCCTGATCTTCTTAGACTATACTAATCATCACTTAGCTAAACTTTTGTGCCTTGACGCCAGTCTTTTAATTCGAACTGTGTATTTGACCCTGCAGTCACAGCTAGCAATTTGATAAGATAAAGTTTTCCGACTAATTGGATCAAAAAGCCCGTTTCTAAGCCAGTTTGAAATACGAAGTGCCACTCTAGTCCCAACCAGCCTCATTCAGAAATCTTTGCAACGCTTCTCAGGTACCTTGTTTGTATGGTATGTACCACAGTGAAGGCTGTTAGTCCTTCCTCTACCCTGTCGCCAATATTACTATCATTATTACCATTATAAATATTTTGTCCCTTGGGTTCCTAATGGATCATAGGCCTTCGGTAGCACGTCTCCAATTCCTCCGTTCTCTGCAAACTATTGAACCTGGTACCACGACAGCCCACAAGCTCTCATTTCCTCCTCGCACGATCTCCTCCATGTCACCCTAGCGTCGGACGTCCAACTCATCGTTTCCCATCTGCGTTCCACTCGAGCAACTGGCCTGGAGCGTGATGTACCCAGTCGGCCTTCTCAGTCTATACCCAATCCATCTCCACTCCCTTCCAGTGCATATTTGTTCACCGATAGATTCTTGCTTTGTTGCTTCGTCACCAGCCAGAGTTCATTGTTACTTCTTATTCTTACTATTCTGGTCATCTGATCTTCTAGCGTAGATGGCAGTTGTTGATGAATGTGTGTAGTTTGTTGGAAAAGCCTTCCGTAACCCGCCAAGTATCTGAGACATACGGAAGCACTCACTGCCTTGACTTGATTGGTGTTGAAAATCCGAATCTTGTTCTTTATGTCGAGTGCAGTGCAGAAAATCTCCACACTGGCTTCAGGTTAATGATATTACAATTATGAGTACAATTATTATTGATAATATCTGTGTTACTACCAACATTGTTCATATTGTTTTTAGAGACTTCTTATGAATTTAGTGATAAATTTTGGTGGGTAATTATTGGTACACAAGGTATTCTTGATACATGGTGATGATGAGTACTGGTTAGCAGTGGAATCCACAAGGCGCATTTCGTCCTACATGCGACTCGTCACATGGATGTACCTGCATATATATGCCAATAGAGACCGATCATTTCGGTTCAATCAACGGTGGCATAAGACAAACAGTAACACTACTCCTGATGTATCTAATCTCTTGTCATAGATTTCTTATTCCAACGGTGCACACTTCACCCTATTCACTAAGCCTAGTTTAACTGAAATACACTAAAATCGAGTTACAGTCCACCACAGTATCCACATTTTACTCCTAAATTAGAGATAGGAGAGCATCCGTACGTTGTTACATCAATTGCTAATAGTAAACTCGATGTGAATGGTAACGTAGTTATCTGAGATAGGACAGATCGAATAACAGACATGAAATCGACCAACGGAATTAGACGTTCACATCATATTTGAACGTCATACAGTCATTTGAACTACCTAATTTTCATCAAACCTCACAGTGTTTGGTTACTGAGAATGCAAGTTCATTAAATCATGCGTGCAAAGAGTAGTAGAGGTCTGAACAACATACATTCGTTCATTTCAGATGGACAACGGTTAGACGGATGTCTGCGTTATATAATAGTGATTGACAAGAGTATCTGAAAACTACTTTGACCAATCAACAGTAACGATATCTCATTGGATCAGTCTGAGAGTGATGATGGATAGTGAGTGACATTGGAATCTGAGATACACGGTTCGTCCTATCTGAGGCTAGTCAACTGCATGTACCTTCCACCTATGCAATAATGCTGTTCCCATGAGGATCTGAACAAACGAACGATCTCTTCAATAGTCTGGGTGTCTATTCAGCTACCGAGTCATGTTAGCCACTCCTTGTGCAACAAATGCAGTATGCTTTTCTGGTTTTCATAGCTTCCAAGTTCCAATCAGATCTGCAAACTGGATGGCTGATTCTCTTTCTTGCAGCAGCAGCAGCAGCAGCAGTTTATTAGATCAAATTTGATGATTTTTTCGACGACCTTCAGCTTCGTTGAGAATACTAACCTGATGGAGAGTTGCTTCAATGAAATTGTGAGTTCCCCAAAGAATCAATCGGTTTCCTGTGAACAAGATTGTTGTGTGTTCCCATTTCAAATCTCTCCTACCGATCTATGCATCAGATCACAGACTGTGTGTATTAGGTCATTCTCAACCTATGTCGGTTAATGATGACGTCTTCAACAGGAGTCTTAAATGACACTGCTGACAAGAAAACTAGTATTGTCCACGATTTCCACCTACAACTCGTCAGCGAATTCCAGTAGATATAAAGTGTGCATAAACAAGACTGATGTCCATAACCCCTGTCTGTTTAATACCATACCGCCTCTTTCAATTCCAGTTTGAACAACAAGTACATTTTGTGGTTTCTTCTGGGTGTGATTCGAATGGAAAACAGTTTCTTTCACAGACAACCCATTACCACATTGAACTTTAGATTAGATAGGCCTGTCTCATCTTGTTGTCGAAATCCCCCCCCACTCTGCCTTCCCTGTAATGCATGTCTGTCTCTTATTCACCCAACTCAGTGTGTTCCATTCGTTTCTCCTCCTCCTGTTTCTTTCATATTTGTGGTTGTTCATTCTGTCTTCATTCCCATTTCTCTGGGACACGGATGTGGACTGAAACTGTGTCGGTTGGTGGAGTAGCAACAGTCGATTTTTTATTCAGTGTGATAAATCTCCGATGTATTGGGTAGTCCCTAAATCTAATGACACAGATGGGCTTCATCTGGGATGCAGTAAAACTTCACTACTACAATAACTAGCCGGATTAGTACACTGGACAGAGAATACGAAGCGGAAAGTTAGCTGAGTAGAGATTTATTCCACTCAGAAAGGTATGTCTATTCATGTGGAAGTTCCGTGGATACTTCTAACCAAACTAAGCTTTCTTTCCCAATGAATCTCAGTTCATTCACAGATATTACCTGAAAACATTTGGGTGACGGCAGGTCAGCTACAAATGTGAACAACCAACCTCAAATATATTTTACTAATATGACCATCTCAATCATAAATGATGAACATTAGACATCCACTTATCTGACCTATCCAGTCAATCTTCTGAATATATTTTCAAAACAATCCCGATGATAGGACTAACTATGTGACACTTCTGAGCAACAAAACTGATAAAATGGCCTATCAGCTATTGCACAAACATTGAGGTATTTTATATTACTGGCAATTCAATTCCGATCAGTCATGGGTTAGAGATATTTGTTCACTTAATAGTTTGAAATACTAATAACTTTTGCATCGTCCTGATTGATATTTATCTATGACTATGAGATAATTCTGCGTCCACAGATGACCTTGCATCGACACTCTACTGACATTGTATTTAGAATGGACAGAGTGTTAACTTGTACTCTGTATGAGCTACAAGTCCATTTCTCACTATATGAATCGGTGAGTGGAACCGCTGACTATGAAACCAATCGCTCAGCGTAGAACTGTATACCATACCAGACTCCAACAGTGTACCCATCACATACAACGCCAAAGCGTTGTCCAATCAGTCACTTGACACATTATCCCCCAACTATGCAACGGGTATTAGTTATTATTGAGTCCAC